GTGTTCCTTTCTTATAATAAGTAATCTTCAGAACCAATTGGAAGTGGAAGTTTCTATGGAGGAGTTAAAGCTTGTGGTTTTTGCTCTTCCGGGTGATAAGGCTCCTGAGCCAGATGGTTTCCTTTAATCTTCTTCCAAAAGTTCTGAAATCTGATTAAACGAGAACTTTTAGAGATAGTTAGAGGCTTTTTGCAACCTAGTGAGCTTTTAAGAGGGTTACTTCTACTTATATTACTCTGAATCCAAAGAAATCAATAATAGTAGAACTTGTTGACATGAGGCCAATTAGCTTGCTTACCAGTCTTTACAAGATTGTAGCTAAGGTTTTGGCAGAGAGATTGACGTTAGCATTGCTTCATGTTATCTCAAGGCCACAATCTTCCTTTATTCATGATCGGCTCATTATGGATAGTGATTTGGTAGCATTAGAATGTATCTATTCCAAGTTGTTAAGTCAAGAGCCTAGAGTTATTATTAAGTTGGATTTGGAAAAGACTTATGCTATGGTGGAATAGGGTGTTCTGATGGAAATAATGAGACGGATGGGTTTTGGTGACAGGTGGCGTGACTGGATTTATGGTTGCTAATCTTCAGCGCATTTCTTAGTTATGTACAACGGTAGCCCTACTGGATTTTTTAGAGCCTCACGTGGTCTACGACGCGGTAACCCTTTGTCCCCTTCTCTATTTACCTTGTATGTTGAGTGCTTTACTCTCATGATTAAACATATAGAACCTAGAGGTAACTTTATGGGTTTTCAGATTGGTAATCAATGCCCGAGCGTCTCTCTGATAGAAGTTTGCCTATCTCGGTGTGGGATATAGTAATGCAGAGAGTTCAAGTCAAACTAGAGCTTTGGAAGCATAGGTAACTATCATCGAGGGGAAGGGTTATTCTTCTTCAGTCATATTTGTTAAATCTCTCAATTGATCAATTATCGTCCATTGAAATTCTTTCATCAATAGCAAAAAAAAAAAAAATGCAAGATTTCCTTTGGGGTTCAAGTGGAGAGGTTAGAAATTTTGCCAATTGAGATGGGATAGGGTGTGCTCTCTTAAAAAAGAGAGGGGCTGAGGCATTAGAAAGATTAAGTTGGTTAACTAAGCATTATTAAGCAAGTCGTGGCGGCGTACCTTCTTCTCTAAAGATCTCTTGTGGTATAAAGTTATGATTGTTAAATATAATTGTGATAAGCAAAGGAGTGGATTGGCAATGGAAGACATAACAATATATCTAGTGGGTGGAAAGCTATTGCCTCTTGTAGACATTTAATTGCTAGAAACTTAAAATGGAACATTGGTAATGGGGAACATGCCTCTTTGTGGCACCATAAGTAGATTGAGGATTATGCTATGAAGTTACTGTTTCCAGAAGTATTCCAAAGTGTGGTTAATCCAAATGCGAAAGTGGCAGACATTTTAGAGGGGATAAGTAATGATAGTTTGTGGAATGTGAACCTTGCATACAACAGAATTGCTAATGTGGTTGCAGATCAATATGGTTAATTGATCAAATTATTGGAAGAGGTATATATTCCTCGGGATGCAATAGATGATATTATTTGGGATATAGAATGTGACGGGTTGTTTTTGATGAAGCTTTGTTATAAATTACCTTTTCATGATTGGTGGCGGTGATCTTTACCACAAGTTACCCCAATCTGAAAATATAAATTACTTTTCCATGATAGGTGACGGCGGTCTTTACCACAAGTTACCCAGATCTGGAAATGGCGACATATGGCTAATAGCACAAGATAAGACACTTAAGGCAAATAAATTTCTTGAATTTTTGTTGAATATTTGCTTGATGTGTACGAACGATGCTGAATTTGGGGCCTTACTACTTTTGCATTGTTTTTTCACTACAAGGATTTGGGACTGGTTTTTTGGCCTTATGGGAGTTTCCTTGTCGCTGCCTTAAAATGTTATAGGAATCATCACCCAGCATTCTCTCCCACATCTTCCAAAAATTGGTAGTGCTATTCAGAAGATTGAGAGAGGGATTGTGATGTGGGAAATTTGGAAGAAAAGACATAGAAGAACCGTTGATGGTGAGTGTTTGCCTTTTGATAGTGTCATGGATAAAATAAGACACTCCTTATGGTGTTCGGTTACTGCTTCTAAAGAGGGATGGGGCATATCAAAAGTGGATGTAATGGGTAATTTTCATAATGTGATGGCTATGAGAATGGTAAGAAGTCGCCCTATTATTGTTTGGAACCCACCTCCACAAGGAACCTTGAAACTTAACTTTGATGGAAACTCCCTTGGAAATCTAGGATTGGTAGGTATAATGGGTGTCGTGCAAGATTGGAACGGGAATGTCATTTTTACTTTTGCAGGGCCAATTGGGTAGCTATTGCAAATCATGCAAAAATGCTTGCTCTTCTTCAATGGCAAAAGATTTTTAAAAGTCGAAATCTAGGTAGTTGTTGTGTGATTGAAGGAGATTCTATGAACGCCGTCAAATGGTGCAAAAACAAGCAGAGAATACCTTAGAAGCTTAGTTGAATTTGCTTGCAAGTGCTTGATTTGGTTGGAAATATGAATGTTTCTTGCTCCCATCTCTTTAGGAAGGCCAATTCATTAGCTAATTCTTTGGCTAAGTTTAGGGCCTCCTTACCTTCTCTTTCCATTTCGAATGATGTAATCCCACAAGTGATTCGCTTTGATCAATAATAGATTTAAAACATTTTTCAAAAAAAAACATCTATAATTATGAAATTTAAAGCTTTCAAAATATCTTAAATCAATCAAGTCTATGACCACTTCAAAATCTTAAAAATGGGGTATGGATAATACATTGCAAGATTTACTACTTCCCGCACAGGTAATCATGTTTCTTTCGACATCCATATATTATCGAGATCAAGATATCAATTGACGGGTTTCAAGGTCAAACAACCTTTCTTAGGGAAGTTTTGAAGTGCACCTTACTGACGCCTTATAGAAACTTTTTTTCTATGGATACTAGTAAATTTGCACGTATAAATATATTTGTATAAATACATACAAATATAGGGAGAGACATAAAAAATATTCACAAAGCAAAAGCAATAATTGATATATTTATTAAAAAAATACTTCATGTACAAAATATGGATATAGAAGTGCCGTGCCCAAATTTGTTGAGTACAATGATAACTTACTCAGCACCCTAATATAACCTATACACATGTGTGTATATATATAAGAAAAGTTTTAAAAACACCATCGGACGAAAATGAGTAGTGTTTCGCATTGCGGTTTTGCCTGAAAAGTCGCAATGGCTCTCATAGAGCCGTTGCGGTTTCCAGTGTTTTTCGCATGAAAGATCGACTACACCAGACATGTTATATCCATTGCGGTTGATTTATCCACACCGTCCTAAAAAATCAAACAATGTTGAGGCTATGGGTGAATACACAATTCAATGAATACACTATTCATTTTCGCCCATAGACATTGCTTAGTAACTTCTATATAAATATATGTAAATTTATACAATAAGAGTAATTATTTTTTATACAAAAAGGTTACAATCATTATTGACTATTAAAATTGATATTAAGGAGTTGAGAATGTATCATTTAATCTACCAAAAAAATTCTCGAATGTGCCTCGTAGTTATCAAGACCCATCATCACTTTCTTTCACTTCAACGGAGAAATAAAAATTTAAATCAGAATAAGAGTGTCAAGTTGTTTTGCATCTGCTTTGATTGAGAAAGCAGTCTGGTTTTCTGTTCCTCCTCTATATCTGAACAGAAACGCAAATCCATGAATCTACAAGGAGAGGGAGACTCATCTACAGACATTTCTTGCAACGTTTTGAAAAGGAGAAAAGCCCGTTTCGGTTTCTCCAGTTCACTTGCTGTATTTAAGAGTACGCAGGGTTCTTTCTTCAATGGAGAAGAGAGACAAGCATCCATTGGGGATTCTGAAGCAAAAGGGTCTTGTTTTACAGATCAAGAAAACCAATGTCTATCAATGGAGATTACTCCAGTGAATTCCCAGGCTATGAAATCCTGATTCCATTTGGTTCCCAGAATCTGAAGTCACACTTTGCCCTCTAGTTGAGAACTAACATCCAAGTGTGAGGATTTCTCTCCTATTTCAAAAAGAATCTGAATCTGTAGAGGTTTCTCTCTCCATTTTGGTTCCCAGAATCTGAAGGCACACTCCGCCCTCCAGTTGAGAACTAAAATCCGAGTTTGGGGGTTTCTCTCCTATTTCAAAAAGAATCTGAATCTGTATAGGTTTCTCTCTCCATTTTAAATAAGGATCCATTTTAAATAAGGAACCTGAAACAATGGGGGGGCTTCTCACTCTAATTTGAGGGTGAAGCCAGAACAAATTTCTGTTTGTTTAGATTTAAGAGTCACATCAACTGCCATTTCTCCCTAGACATGAAAAGCTGTGAAAGCTACATCCCGCCAGTCACTAAAGAAACCAAAATTCTTACCCAAATGTAAGAAAAACCCAAAAAATTTCTATGCTTCAAAACGTTTGAATTATCCTGATCCACCAAAAGCAAAAAACTCAGAAATAATAGAACTGAAAGTGAATGCCATGATGGAAGAATAAAGCATTGAAGCCATAGCAAAAATAAACAACGATGCGCGAAATGAGTAAAAGAAGACCCACCATTGCCCTGAGTTGAGCAGACTCTAGTGGAAGACTTGCTAGCTTCCAACTACAAATAAAGATCGCGATCGTGGAGATAAAAGAAAGCCAGAAGAGATTTTTTGCATTTTTTTTTAGGGTACAGAGAATTAAGAGATGCTCTTCTAATATATTTCCCAAATGAAAGGTATTTAGCTCGGAAATGCATAGTAAAATCCATGAGGGATTTTTTGCATGAAAATTGGAACTTGTAACTACGTACCATAACAGTCGGATTCTTGTCCAAGGCTGCTGGTTGTTGAATTGCGTGTGGGACTTCCCAAATAAAAGAAATTACTGTATGTATGGTATGTGAGCATATGCCTGTGTAAGCATGTGTGCATACGAGAGAGAGCAGTCCACACAAGGAACAATTCCAAAATATATGAGTGCGCAGTCAATCCACAGCTTGTTGGCTCGCAATACGAAAAAGCCAATAAGTTAAAAACCTCAAATTCGAATATCGCTAATAACCAAAATCTCTTAATCCCTGCAATGCTGAAAATCAAAACTACCAAGTTTCGCACAAACACATTTCGGAACAGAAACACAAGCTGACTCTCTAAGTGTTGGTGGCTCTTGTGTAAATTTGCTGGCTTGCATGAGAAGAAATCATCCTGATTGAACCTCTTGACATCAAATCCTTGATCGCCTTTCGGGCAAGGGACCCATTGATCTGAGTAGGAAACATGCATATTATAATTATGGATGTGGTTTTGGTATGGCCATGGCTACCGCACCGCCCGATACAAATGGACACCACTTCAAGAAATGATATCAACGCACGATACGTTTCTATCAGACAGTGCAGGGGCTCATGGCTGCATGTAGCCACCACCACACGCAATAATTTTCCCAGAGCTATAGGACATCATTAAAAAGCTCAAGTGAAACTGTTAGGCATGCATTCAATATCAAATAGGAAATAAGAGAGACCAGACATCTTAATAATCAGCACTCTGACTCACATCAATAAGCAGACAGATGATTTAGTAACCTATTTTAAACAAATGTAAAACCAGGCGAAGTTTACATACAGAACATGTTTTTTTGACACTTGGACAAACAATGCCTGAAAATTAAATGTACTGCAAGGGATTCAACGTCATGAAAATGAAATGACCTGGTGATTCAACTTCATGAGCTCTCTTGCATAGAGCCCCAAGGAGCTGTCAGTTAACAGAAATTATATGATTAAAAAATGTTATATTATTAATGAGAAATGGTCTTATAGGACCTCCCTCACCCATGTGTGTAGGACCCCAAAGGATCACCATTAAAGTTGACACGGATCTCCAAAAAAATTATCGCATGGATGTGAGACTAGACTTTTCTATAGATCCGTGCCAAATTTAATGATGATCATTTGAGGTCCTACACACATGGGAGAGGGAGGGTCCTATAAGATCAATTCTCATTATTAATATATGTTAAGAAAACATTTATTTTGCAAAATAAAGTTCATAAGGAAAACATAAAAAAACTTAACCATATAAGAAATCTTTCGTAACATTTGGTTCATTTTCTTCTAAGATATTTTTTTTCTTAAGATCTTTGTATACAAATTATTTTTCTACAAGTTAATTTACTCTTTCCGTTTTTTCCTTTTGACCAGTACTCGAGTCTTTTATTTTCTTTTGTATAATAGATTATCATAGATTAATATTGAGAATCTATGCATAATCCGAATATATGCCAAGAATAAATATTGTCAAACATAACATTAGCATCCAATGTATCATCCTTTTTTTTCTCTTTTCATTTTCTGTATCTGTTTAAGCTCTAATTTCGAGTAGGTCACAATGTAGCGATATTGAGAAAAATAAGTACTAACAACTAATAAATAAAGAAAATGGACGTGTTAGCAAGGGCATCAACAGCTTCATCTTTTAACACAACGACAAAACAAATAATCAAAAGAATAAATAGAAAGGACTAAAACTAAGGTCATTAAATAAAAAATCTGTCAGATAAATCATTGAATTATTATGAATAATATTCTCAGAGGTATTATATAGTACTATTTAATTATAATTTTTATATATTTCATATTTTATAATTTTAAAAATTTTGCTATATCATGTGTACAGTTTTTATATTAATCCCTTGTAAGGAAGTTTCAGGACCATAAATCTTGATTTTGAAACCCTGTTGTCTAGCATGTTTCAGAAATCAAGACCCATTTCGGTGTGTCTAGGCAACATAGACAAAAAAGGGACATCAAGTATTATTCGCATTTTAAGAAAACAATTCACCTCTAAATCGAACACAAATTGAGGCCAGGAGAGAACTAGCATATTCAAAAAGGAAACCACTAATGAATCTCACTGGTTTTGATAGACCTGCTTGAGAGAGAGAGAGAGAGAGAGAGATTTCGTGAAATGTATGTGATGTGGTGAGAGGGTGACCTAGAGGGCACGAACAGAATATAAACTTTTTTTTCCAAAGAGGAAGGTGGTCATCTACAAAGAGAACCACATATTTTTCCAAGGTATAAAAGTGATTACTAATATTTATCTAAGACTCCTCAAATATCAGTAGGTATCATGGCAACTACAGAAAACATGAAGCACGTGTCTAAGACAGCAAAAAATTGCAACGTCTTCTGTATTAAGGTATCCAAAGATTAGGACTTTATACCCAGAAAAATCATCATTTCAAGTGTTATGTGAGTCAGCAGGCTCACAATGGACACACTGGCCCGCTGACTCACAAATGTCCATCTTTAAGATCAAACACCACAACTAAAGATTTTTCCAAGCAATGGATAGGAAAAAAAATTTAAAAAAAATTGTTTTAAAATGTTATTTTATTTTATTTTATTTTTTATATTCATGATCATCATAGTTGTAGATCATGGATCTCTACAAGTTTGGATCCAAGATCTATATCTAAAATGGGTGTTAGAGGGAGCCCACACGAGAATAGTACGAGTCGGGGGACTCATAAAAAGTGGGTCATTTATGTTAACCAGTTTTCCCTCATCCAATTGTAAATATTTTGATATCATTGTATAACAGAAAATATTTTGGCACAGCTGGTTTGGATGCAACCGCAGCCCAAAACTCCATCTTCAAGATGGATTGATGACCCAAAACTCCTAATTCACCTGCAAATCCATTTCTGGCCCCCGAATGCTGAATATGGAGCCTCAGAAATGGTGAATAGATGGAACCAGAAAATTTTGAAATGGACAGTCAAGAAAAATGGGAAGATGGACCATATTTTGGTCCATTTGTGTTAGATCCATGACCGTGGAGGTGCAGCACATGGATTTGCTAAATTTTAAGTCCTCAAACCATTCCCATAATGGATTTGAGGTGCCCCCGCGTGCAATCCCCGCCATACCAAAACCTTACCCTTACATAATACACAATTTTTTACCCCAAATTTTCCTCAATCAGTCCTATACTTCATATTCTCTTGATTTTTGTGTTTCTAGCTGCTGCCACTAAAAGCAGTCAACAACCCTCGAGTTTGAAACCTGCCCAATGCCTCATACTACCAATTATAAACTACAAAAGCTTTACATCTTTCATGTTGCTAAGCCAATGTAAGAGGACAAGGAGCATTCTGAATGTGCTTGTTACTTGTTCTATGGGGACATTTTTTAGGTTTATTGACAAATCCGAAAAGATTCATGATGCATGCTTCATATTTGGAGTAGTGGATAAGTGTATTGAGGAGGTGGGGAAGGCATATGCCATGCAAGTTGTCACTGATATGGCTAAGGCCAATATGGCGGATGCTAGATTGTTGGGGTTTAGGAGGCCTCTCATTTTTTGGATGCCTTGCACAACACATTGCATTGACCACTCATGCTTGAGGCAATTTGTAAGAAAAAAGTGATGAATGGGATAATAGATAAGGGAAAGGCTTCTATACTTCCCCCTACAGCATATTATATGCTTCCCCTACCATCCAGCCGTCTAATTTTGATCAAGAGAGCCACTCACCATTTGATCTTAGATAAGATGTCTCAAAGTATTTTATTTTTAGTTTTTTTATAAAAATTATATGAATATGAAATTTCTTCCGTGCCATCTTCTCATTGGGGCGCACCTATAAAAAATATTTAAAATAATTTTTCAATAAAATATAATGACCAAAATACCCCTTGAAGCTTTCAGGGGTATTTTTGTCATTTTATTTTATTGGAAATATTATTTTTATATTTCTTGTTAGTGCAAGTTTGATAGAGGATTGGACATCCAAAATTTGGTGTCAAAATGGTTTATAGAAAAAAAATTAAAAATAAAATAGAGTAAAGACCTGACATTGTGATTGGGGCAATCTTAGCCCTCCATTCAGAATGGACGATTGGATGAGGGGAAGTATATAAGTTTTATGCTGTAGGGGAAGCATAGAAAGCTTGCCCAATAGATAAACCACAAGCTAGAACAATTTTCATTTACAGCCACACAAATCAGTTGGAGAGGCCCCTACACCTAACAGGGTATTATCTCAAGCGTGCTTATTACTATACTGTTTTTGGGGTAGAGAGTAGGGGTTGTATCAAGGAAGCAATTAACAAGTGTAATGCGAAGCTCAACCCTGACTGAGATTTTTTTGGTCCAAACTCTCGTCTTTCCAACCGTGCTTATTACTATACCGATTTTGGGATAGAGCGTAGGGGATGTATCAAGGAAGCAATTAACAAGTGTAATGTCAAGCTCAACCCTGACTTAGATTTTTTTGGTCTAAACTCTCGTCTTTCGACATTCAATTAAATCTTCTTTTTTTATTATTGAATCGACTTTGTCTAAGGAACTTGAATTGTATCTCCATGGGGACACTTGGGACAAACATCGCAAAAAGATAAAAGGACGAAAATATATCCATGTAAGTTGAAGATGTATTTGTTATTTAAGTTCTTACTTCTTACTTTAAATTTAACTTGGCTTCTAATTTTCTAAATTTACTCGTATGCATGTACTCTATATATGGCGGGCCATCCGATGGACAAAGTGCCCCTAACTTGCAAAGGATGGCTCAAAAGATTTTCAGCTTGATTTTCACATCATCCAAATGCGAGCACAATTTCAGCATATTCGAAAAGGTAAATTTACCATTTTGCCTCATCTCCCACCACACTAACTTTCTCAAATTTCTTTTTAAGTAAGAAAATTCTAATAGTGGAATGATGCATCATGAAAACAGATACATACAAAGAAGAGAAATAGACTTAAGCAGAAGAGAATGAACGACCTTGTTTTCATTCAGTATAATCAGAAGTTGAATGAGCACCATTTAGAGTGGCATCAAATACTCAACCCCATAAATGTGAAAGATTTGTATGAATCACGTGAATGGTTGGTCAAGAAGGATGCTAGCAATGAACTTGTATTCGAGGAAGAGAGTTTGACATGAATCCAAGTACATGAGGTGGCTGGTATGGCGTCGAGCCCCATGAAAACTACTTGCTCTTAAACTCAGAGTAAGGAGAAGGCAAACGGAAAGGTGATGAGAAAGGGGAAGGCGAAGAGGACAATTGAGGAGGAGGAAGCAGATTCAAAGGAGACAAGGGATGAAGGTCATTATGAAGAGGATGACTCTGATGATGATGGCTTGGCATCATCTCAGATTCAGGTGCATTTGATAACGGCCGTGGACATAGGCGCGATGTTGCCAATGATAAAACTCAATATCATAATTGAGTTCATCATATTTTTCATCTAGTAGACTACTTTTGCTAGTTTATGCCCTTTGAGTTGTGCATGGTGACTTTTTCTTGTCAGTTATCTGTTGTGAGATGTGAAGGATATCACATGTTTTAGGACAAATATAATAAAAAATTGATATTTGCTGGTCATCAATTCACAGTTCAAAGTCATGTATGTCTAAGTTTGATATGTAGTTCTATACAACAAAATTTTTACCAATAAAATAAAACAACAATTATAAAGCGATGTTTATTAAACCCAAAAAAATTTGATATTCTAAACACAAAAACAGGGAGGATCTAATAGTCCACAAGGGTTTGGAGCCCCCCCATTATGCAAGCTGCCTAGTTATCTGAAAGCTTGCCTAGGCGTCCATCTCCAACTTTTTTAACATTGCAAGTACCTTTCAAAAACAAAAGTAGAAACCACTCCATTCTCATTCTGTGACATTACAGACTCGTCATAAAAATAAAATGAAAGAAGTGGGAACCTCTAATGGCCTACAAATGCCAATACCAATAAACACATAACAATCAAGGAACTGGATTTAGTACACATCAATGTTTTACAACCCAAGTGAGTCGACTCAAAGACACCCAATTAACACAGGCTTGTAAGGTGGCCTTGCTCAAGTTCTATCCAACCTCGTGGTACATAATTATCAAAGACTTATATTTGATTTCTTTAGGGTTTTATATCTTTCTGATGTTTTATATATTTTTTCTTTTTTGAGAAAAAGATCTTTAAGAAGTTTTCTATTGTTTATTTCAATTTTTCCAGTTTCAGCAAACTTTTAAAGAATTTTCATTTTTTAATGCTTTTTTTTAGCCATTTTCAAGCTTAACATGGCCTCAACAAGGCAACTTAGACTCACCCAAGTATCTCGGCGACGGTGGCTGAGTTTCTAGGATGAGCCGAATTCTAAACCATTGCTAAATATCATGGGTAAGGACAATGCAGAGATTATAAAAAACAACTCTAATCACAATCTAGTTTTAACTAGCACATTAGAAGGAAAAAAAAAAGCACAAAACGAACCATACTAGAGAAAAAGGGGACAAGTTGCACAATAGAATAAGCAGAAACGATTACTAAATCTAAATCTAAATCTAAATGTAAATCAACAGGTTCTTTTTTAATGAATCTAAATCAACAGTTGACAATCATAAATATCTTTTAACCTATAATAAGCTCTTTAGTTTTAGTTGGGCTTCATACTATGAACATTTTAAGGGACAACATAATACAGAAGGAAAAAAGTACAAATCAACTAAGGCATTCAGGAATCCAGGACCATCTAAAGTAGGATAATGTCCATGAACCAAAATGAGCAACCTACTAAATAAAAAAGACCATAAACATATTTTTAGACGATGAAAACAACAAGATACTATACCCAATTCGTTGATAACTCCTATTGGACAATGAAAAAAATTCAAAAAGAAAAACCAAAATAAAAAATCATACACACACTGGGGAAAATCCCCAAATTGGTAAAAACATAAAAAGCAAAGGAAACATTTTTGAAGGAATTAAAGAAGAAATACAGAGGAAGGGCTAAAAGGCATCACATACCCTCAATCTATCTGATAAGATGGAAGGAGTGATAAGCTTATACTTGGGGACTTCAGAAAGAAGCTTATCATAAGTAGCCTTGTCAAAAATCACCATGTTATTCACCTTCTCCTTTTGCTTTCCCTTGCTCCATTTCTGTTGCCAAAAGCCAAACCACAGAACTTACAAACACATTCAAATAGATTAGCTCAAACAAGACAAAGAATGAATCGTTTTTTTGTAGAATCGTTAAGATTTGCTCAAAAAGGATTTTTCTTTAGATTTATGTTCAAGAGAGCAGACATTTTAGGTACTTTCTACTAAATAGAGAGAGAGAATAATGAACCTTTAGAAACCTAAATCAATTATTTCAGAGAAGAAAGAGAGAGAGAGCAGCGAGAGTACCTTCTTTTTTTGCTTACCTCCTCCAGATTTAGCTGGCTTGGAGGATGGAGGAGGGGCCTTCTCCTTCTTGGGAGCCTGCAATGAATCAAGAACCCCAAATCGTCAAATAATCAAGCGAATCAGGCCCTAAACGTAGCCAATGTTGCCCTAAATTTGCCGCCCATTTGAGCATAGCTACATACCATGGTAGAGGAAGGTTGAGAGGAACGGTCTGCAAAATTAGGGTTTTGCGCTTTGGAGGCGAGCTACAAAGGGGGAAACGAATGGTGTCGCTACGCTTCTTAAAGCAGGAAGGGAAAACATCACATAAGCGCGTATAATATGCTCCCGACGGAGCATACTGTACATTATCCCTTCCCCAAAAAAGGTTTTTTTTTTTTTGGCAGAGGTAGTTGAGACAACCTAATTAGGAAGTTTCAAAAGAAAAAATTTTAAATTTTGAACTTTTGCGACACTTCTAAGGTTTCAAATAAAATTATTGGGAAAGGTAGATGAGGCAACCTAATTAGGAAGTTTCAAAAAACTTTAAATTTTGAAGTTTGCGATACTTAGATCTAACCTTTCAAAAATTTGACCATCTCCATTCAATATTGAGGCTTTTTTTATAGTATATTTTTTATCACTTACTATATTTTTATTTTTTTTTGTTCACATTACCTTTATCTTATATGAAGGAAAAAAGCTCCAAAATTATAATACTTAAAAGAGGTAGAGATAAAAAATATATAGTTCTCTACTTCCAAAGATAACGATCCTAAACTAACAAAATATGAACATCCCTCACCCCCAGCAGTCCTTACATCGCATACAAACCAAGGACTCCAACTGTTCCGCACAAAACATCGCATACATCGCATACTAACCAAAGACTCTAACTATACCACACAAAGCATCTTCTATCGGACCTTTTCCACTCGACACAAACCTCACACCATAGTCCTCAATAATCTCCTTCCCCGTAAACAATAACCTCGCAAACCGGGGTTGGGGTAACCCACCAACCTGTATTGTTCTGACGACGCCCATGAGGAAGTCGGTAAAAACTTGGCGGCATCCTAGTGGGGATTGATAGCCAACCAAGGACCGTAATGTACGATTTATAAAAAGGATTGGAGGGAGGTGGGAGAGAGAAAAGTCAAAGAGAAAGGAGACTAAAGAAAGACAATGAGTGAACATAGAGGAAAACCAAGAAGCAATGACGGAGGTGCCAACTCAATTAACTCTCCAAGTTACTATTAAAACCAAAAAAACTAAGGGTCTAAAAGATAGCTTCAACCTCCACGACAGAGCTCATGCTGGCCCACTAATAGGGCACTCCCTAACTTGGATGTTAACTCAATGTGGCAACATACAAGGAGCTTCTAGACCCAAAAGAAAACTTGGTAGGCACGAGAAACTCCTCAACAAGGTACATATCCCTTATAGGAGGGTAAACTTTATTTTAAGCATTAACTTATCTTTGGAGAGTTGAGAGTTGGGGAAGATAGAGATATGTCAAAAGCAAAGGAGGAGGAGGTCATGGACAAAAGCTTAGAGGCAGAAAGAGAGGAAAGTGAAAGAAGCACAAAGAAGAGATGAAACAAAAGAAAGGAAGAGGGGGAGGGGGTCGGGGGAGACTCTCTCTCCCAGCCACACTCATCTACTCCCTCTTGAAGGATGAGAAGAGAAAAGGCTAAGCGAAAGAAAGTAAACCGAAAGAGGAGGGGGTCAAGAAAATAAGGGCCTGGAAGGAAGAGACTGTGTAAGGAAACCAAAAATAATTAAAAATTAAAAGGGCAATGATTTCATGCAACGGTTGCATAATAATATGATGTAACAATCTTCAAAAGCTATGTTATTGCTATTTGTTTTATCCAAATTTTGAATTATGCACTCTTTTCATTCTAATGAACAATAAAAAAAAAGGAAAAATTGAAAACACAACCTAGAAAGCATTTTTCTAGCCCAATTAACATACGTCGTTCATTTTGGGGAGATGCTTAGATCTAGGTCTTAGAAGGATTTTTTCATTTCTAATTTTTTTGGATGGTTTTATTATCATTAGATGAATAATGTTAACAAAGAAAAAAAAGATTTTGAGTTTATAAATGCCAAGATCTTAAAATTCACCAAATGAGTGGTTTGGATTCGTTTTTGGAGGGGACTCATTTTGACCATATTTAGGGTTCAAATTGAACTTTTTTTTTTGGAGGGGATTGATTATTGAGATAAAAGAGTGTGTGTATAAAATTTTGGATCATACAAATACCACAAACATGGTTTTTTAGGAGTGTTGTTGCATTAGATCATTGTTCAAATTAAAAAAGAAAAAACCAAGAAAAAAAAGAAGTAAACAAAGACTACAAAGACAAAAAAA